TTGTCTGGAGTGGCTTGTACGGTTACGTCTAAAAATGATAAGCAGTTGTCCTGTTGCCTTTCATATGTGAAAGAAAGAACCGAATTTTTCTCGAACTCGCGTATAATGGCAGCTAGGTGCTCACTATCCCTGACTTCTAGAAAGATGTCATCTACATACCTACAGTATGTAGTTGGTTTCAGTTCAGGGTCATCAAAGGTAGCTTCCTCGACATGGGCCATGTAGAAATTTGCGAACAATGGTCCGAGAGGCGAACCCATTGCCACTCCATTTTTCTGCACATAAAGTTTGCCATCGGGGCCGCGGAATGGCGAGTCTTTTGTGCAAGCTACTAGGAGGTTGCGTAGTATTTGAGGGGATAGTGCAAGTGATTCTAAACCGTTGCTTCGCTTGTGGTAGACTTCATCGATAATGATTTGGATGGTGTCATCAACAGGTACGTTAGAGAACAGGCTTTCTACATCAATGGATGCTAGTTGGCCCTGTGGCTTTTTTATGCGGAGCAAGTCCAAGAACTCGTCTGTGGAACTGATGCTATACTTTGCTGGGACAAATGGTTTCAAAAGTTGATTGAGTCGCTTTGCTAGTTTGTAGGTGGACGTGCAGACTTGCGAAATTATGGGTCTCAGTGGGTTGTTAGGTTTGTGAGTTTTTACAGTGCCGTATGCATACCCTGGGGAGTACTCACCAGAAATCGGCTCAAAATGTACACTATCGATCACAGCGTTGGCACTTTTTATAATTCGATTCACTTGAGCTTTATGTTTTTTAGTCGGGTCTTCTTTGAGTTGTTTAAACTTGCTAGTATCAGCGAGGATGTGGTTCAGGTTTTTGTTGTAGTCCTCTTTGTTTAAAATCACAAATAGAGATGCCTTGTCAGCTCGTCTTATGATAATCCGGGGGTCCTCTTTTAGTTGTTTTCCAGCTTCTCGAAGTTCCTTTGTCAGCAGTTTGCTGTTGTCGCTCCCTCGTAGTTTGCTTCCTTCGCCTGCTAGCTGTCCTTTAAGATCAGGATGAATCGATATTTTGTCTTGAGCTTCTAGTTTCAATATCATCTCTATATCAATATCATCTCTATATCAATATCATCAATATCATCTCTGCACTCTGGGGAGTGTAGAGATGATATGTGTCACGCCTGAATGGTATGTAGGAAACTGTGTGGAATGTCATGTAGATGGAAAGTGTAGTATGTGTGTACGATCATCGATCAATGTAAATAGTTGACTGTCGTATTTGCGCCAGCTTAGTGAAAGTGTTATGATTATGCCGTCACATGTTTTTGTTGCATAGCTATTTTCCTAAACGACGAATGAGAAGTAGCATATCCCGACGGACCCTGTTGATTTTGTACTCTGTCTTGAAAATGATTGTTTGATAATACAATCGAAACGCGTCGACAAAATGAAAAACTTTAATGAATATAACTGAAACATTAAACTCGCTACCTGAAACAATCAAGAAAACATTCAACCAAGCCCAAAAACTCAACAAAAAACTATCAAAAGCGAAAGCTGCCTTGCTGTTTAATGACATCTGCCTCAAAGAAAATATCTTGCCCAAATACACCAATATATATATATATATATATATATATATATATATATATATATATATATATATATATATATATATATATATATATATATATATGTTACAGGGAGTTTGAGAAATCCGTGAGTTTGCAAACTCCCTGACCCATCAGTGAGTTTGCAAACTCACTAGGGAGTTTGCAAATTCACTGACCGGTCAGGGAGCTTGAGAAATGCCAGAGCGGTTGGGACAAATAAAAACAAATGTGTAGCATGTGAGTGGCATACGTGCCGTCCATGATGGGCAGGATGTTTGACTTTACACCGCTATTACTAGAAAAGTTGTGACCCGATTTTTTATTTCTTTCACGAGAAGATCCGCAGTTCAATTCTGGACAGGTAGCCAAAATTTCACATTAATATCATGTTTGCGGCGCGAGTTATTGGCGAAAAACAGGAGGGGTGGGCAAAATCCGCCCCCCTTCCACTGCGCGTGTTAAAGGGACTATCCCACCTTCGAAAAAGTCCCGTTTAGGATTCGGAAATGTTACTTAGGGCATTGTGACGAATTCTGCAAGCATTTACGCGTTTTCATTGTATACTTTTTGAAATATTGCGACTTTTATATTTCATCGTGACGTCATTTAGATCGGCTCTGTGTCGTAATGAAGGATTTACTTCATGCCAATGAGGGGGGAAATTTGGCAGCAAATATATTTGCTTTCAAATATAACGCGGCTCATACAATAACAAAAGTGTCTGATTGGGCATTTTGTAACGGTGCAACGGCATTTTAAACGGTAAATTTATCCAAACCCAAGATAATCAATCAATTACTAATTATCGCCGGGGCCGCCGCTGGGTGCCGCCGGGGCGCCGAGTCAGCCAACGCCAGCTTATTCGTAAATCAAGTGATACTCTACTCGAATGCGTAAGAGGCGTTCAAAGGGCAAATGACGTCATCAGATTGCCGTTAATGGTTAAGAGATTGGGCCTTACGCATGGCTCATTTTCAAATGAAGGGAACGAATTTCTTCAATACCACGAGGCCGCGGGGGTTGCAACCAAGATAGATAGTGGTTTCTGAACCTCGCCGCAAACTTGGCTATCTCAACTCAAGCCTATAATGTAAAGGTGGGATAGTCCCTTTAACATCATGGACGGCACGTATGCCACCCACATGCTGCACACTTGTTTTTGTTTGACCCAACCACTCTGGAATTTCTCAAACTCCCTGACATGATCTAAGATTTCCGTGACCTGTGCTGACCTGACCTTGACCTGAAAATCAAAGTACAGGTTTGGTATCCTCAGGGTAGCTGAAACATCTATTCACGAGTGCGTAAACCAAAAATGAGCCTCATCTGACTATGTATACTAAGACGGCGGCTACAGCCCAAAATGTAAACAAGCAAAACATCGGTAATTTTTACTTTGACCGGACCTGTGACGTCATCGGTGACCTCGAGGTCAATGAAATTAGATTTCTCTCAACAGTTTTTCGGGGCTATCAGACGCCGTTTGAATTTTGCCGATCGGCCCAGTAGTTTCGGAGAACGAGGAGGGGGGCTATATTGAATAGCCCCCCCCCCCCAGTAGGGCGCGTTATACGCAGACCCCAGTGGGGCGCGGGTTAAGAATGGCCGAAATACTTAATGTTGCATATCATTCGACTTGGCTGTTCAAGCGGCACAGAATGATACCATTTTGAAAGCTTTATATTTATCACGTGTTAAGTTAATGGCACCAACGTCCTTTAAACTCATTTGACCTTATTTGGCCTGACCCTTGGATAAGTACACCAAACAAAGAAAACAAGTGGACCAATACCCGGACCAAGTGACATAATGTTAAGTACTGTGGTATCAAAGCACAAAAGTGATAGAACCAAGCGGATATATCTAGTATTTTCCTATTGGAGTTACTTGAATAGGTATTTTCCCATAGGCTTAACATTACGACGTAATGACCTCTAACTGATCTCAGATCAGTGACATAAAAAAACGAACCATATGTTATACAACTCGGTAAACTTAGCACATCCAGAAAGTTTGAAGGAAACCAGTACATAACTGTGAGTTGGACAGGTGCATAAGGAAAATTGAAGTTTGATTATGACCTTGTTCCGGTTTTTGTAACCTGGTGACCTGACCCAAGGTCACCCGGACCTGAAATTTTCAGGTCATATGTAAAGCGGTTGCCGCATAGGCTGTGCCAAATTTGGCGCCGCAGGTTTTACGCTATCTTTGAAAAACCTTAGGGTCGCATCGACCCCTCCCCCGCCCGCCAGGGCCAGGGTTAAAGGTAGTGTGCCAGCTTTCTTGGACCGTATGGAGTTAATGGCCCAGATAAGGAGAACCGGATTTTTAGAACTTATCCATACCTTCAAAACTCATGGAAACGTCTTAAATTCTTCAAATTTTGAGTACCCCAGTGCGAAATTCGCCCCGACGGGTTGTCGGTCGTACCCCAACCACATTTCACACCACTATGAACAATAAATGCACACACTGAAATCGCTATTACCGATATGCTCATCCAATCAAGTTTCGATAAACCCGTTCATCATCATCTCCTGCGGTTTCGAACACGCCTGTTAGGTGGCTTCTGATGCTCGTCGAGGTCGGAATTTCCAAATACGCGTGGTGCGTCGGGCCGCGCGCTCTGACTTCGGCCAAGAAAAATGCGTCAGCTGATCATTGTCATTTCTGCCACTTGCGTGTGGTGAAATGGGGTCATAACTTATAAGACGGCTTTTTCATATCAATTATTTTACATAAAATCATATTTCAAACCATAAATAATGTTCGACAGCCAAATAAAAGAAACAATACCAATACGGGCTTACAGTTTAAGGCTCGACATTGTGTTGTCTACGATTAGACAGCTGATAACTCATTCCCGTACGTCGTATGGTCGTAACACTATAATGACCTTTGCTTGTCACAAGTGCGCCGCATTCGCGATTGCTGCCCGACGCCTGTTTTCAGGTGAGCCCACTACAGTTGTTATACATATCTAAAAACCGAAAAACTTTTAGGCGAAAAAGGCACTATTCCAGGCCCATTTTTGATTTTTTTTGCGATATTAGGTAAAAACAGAAGCTTCTTATCCTAGGAAAAATAAAATGGGAAATCTTTCAAAGGTGGCACACTACCTTTAAGGTACCTATGAGCCTTAGGTTTGTGTTTCAACAATTGAATATCACTTAGCTGTGAAATTCCAAAATTACACAACATCCGATATCCCGCATAAAGCTAGTTGCCTTGCCCATAAGCGCGTTTAAACCACCAGACATGACCAAACCACGCCAACAACGAACAAAACCATCGCTCGGACATCACCAGCCAGATCCATCAGTGAACAGAAACCACCGGACATGACCAATTCAACATGACCAATTCACATGACCAATTCACACCAACACCACGTAAAGCACACCATACTCAAAGAAAAGTAATCACGTGCCAGGTTTCGCAGCCTTCTCTGAGATACCACCTGGAAAACAAAAGTAAATAAACGGGCATTTCAAACGCAGAGAACAAAAAAAAAAAAAAACACAATTAACAAAACAAGATTTAGTCTATGCAACGAGTCACGCTGCTAATTATAGAAGTGATTTTTTAGCATCTACCTTTTACATCTTTGATAATGGACACTACGTATCGTAGGACTTTGCATGGACCCATCCCATCCCACGTCCAATGTAGGGTGCGCTGTTCATGGCACCGTCTGCCGTCAGACCAAGTTTCAGCACACGACCACTGCCCACTGCGTCGAGCAGTGGGAGAACAAAGGAAGGTGGAGGTGGGAGGTAGCAATGGCCCATGACGTCATGCGTAGGGCTGACAGTAGACTCCCCGCTGATGAAAAATACCGCCAGCCCTGAACAAACTTTCAGCAGTAAACTATTGGGGCGCACCACGACAAATAATGGTAAACAGATACCATCCGAGCCAGCGTCAAGTAAAGGTACAGTCCACCGCCAAAGCAGGGCTTTTTACGATGCCATCCCTTGCTTTCTAAACTTGGAAAGATTCTTTCCATACCAATGTGATCCCTATTAAATTGCTTTTCAGTTCAACCTCGTTTTACTTCCAAAGGTGTTCACATAAAAGGAGATATTGACAAAACTGCCTATGCCTAATTGCAAAATTGCCTATGCATTTTGTCCACTTTGTCCCATACCATGGGGCAAAGTGGCCACCGGCGACTTCTAAAGCCCGATATGAGGAACAGAATAGTTGCCTCATGTACGACTAGACTATTTGATGGTGACCAGGCTTAACCCTCGCCCGTATAGGGGGAGGGGGTTGAACATACCCCCTCGGTTTTTCGCGAATAACTCGCGTAAAAAGCGGCCGATCGCGACGAAACTTTCAGTACCCTAGAGTTGATCAATTCTACACCTACCCTGAAAATTTCATGACCCTGACCCAAATGACTTTGACCTGTGACCTACTTTTCGAGACCATGTTTGGCCGGAATCGCGATTCGGCGTACGTCGGATCGCATTAGTCGCGCGTTTGAAGTCTTTTCATGGTTGCAACTTGCAAGCGTTCAAACATGTGATATGATGTTGCCCCCATGCATTAGGGTGGGTGTCAAGGTCATCTGAAGGTCAGGTCAGGTCATTGACCTTTGATGACCTCGGTTCACTTTTTCGAGTTTTACATGTTTCTAGGCTAGTTTTTTGAGCTGAATTCGAATTAAGCAACCATATGAACATTTACGAAGTAGTTTTGGTGCCTTCGTAACATGTGACGAGGGCATGTAACATGTTACGAAGCTGTCAGACGTGGTTGACACCTACTACGAATACCCAGCAGGACCCCTACTGGTTGACCTGACCTGACCTGACCCGACCTGGCCTAAATGCCTGAAGATATCATCTGTGATCAAAACTAACACGATATTCGTGATCAGCACCCCGAAAAACCCAATAGCAGCCACACTTTAAGACGTTCTAACAGGTCCCGATTTTCCCGACTTTCGGGTCATTGACCTGACCTGGAAGGTCAACCGATGACCTAGGACCTTAAAATTGGGTATCATCGGCTTCCTCTCGTCACGGGCAACACACTCCTTTTTTCGCGAAGCTCTAGCTCGATCAGGGGCGAAACGGCAAGGGGGGTCCAACGGACACCCCCCCCCCCTTATATGCCGCGGCTGGAAAAACACCAATACGGGCGAGGGTTAAACGAGGATGTATGTTTAGTTGTCATCTTCCCCCCCCCCCTGTAGGTAGACAAAGAAAGGAAAAACATGGAAAATATTTAATTGCACTTTTGGTAACTCATGTAACCGTAAAGTGGCCGAAATAAACGCATGACGATACACCTAAATATCAATAACGTTTATTATTGTCCAGTTGGAAACAAGTTCTGGCCAATTAGGTGTTGGACACTTTTCTCCGCCCAATATACACCTATATATTTACGGAGCGAGCGAAGCGAGCGTAAATTTTTGAGTACATATGAGCGGCCGGCCGACCGGCCGGCCGGCCGGCCGTGCGGACGCTTTTGCGAGGCTTATATCTCAGCAACCACTTGACCGATTTACACGCGGTAATTTTTGTAGAGTAGCTTCATTCCTTCTACCAAGTATTGGACTATTCCCGATGCATGTGGGTGACCACTTATGCACGTGCCACGTGCAAAACGAAGAGGTATCAGTTTTGCAATTGTTGCAATATCTCGGTAACTACTTGGCCGATTGCGCTGAAAGTTGGCATGTAGGTAGGCACCCACTAGGCACTGCATATCCATGTGCCAGAGTTGGGGTGCTGCTGCACGTGCGCACGTGCAGGGGTCGTTTCCAGATCTCGAGAACGGCTGGACCGATGGCGCTCAAATTTGGTACATGGTTAGGGACCAGTTAGTAGGGTGCCGTGCACAAGTCAGTTGGGACCCTTTCTGCACGTGCGCACGTGCAGGGTGCCGCTTCCAGATCTCGAGAACGGCTGGGCCGATTGTGCTCAAATTTGGCACATCGCTAGAGACCGGTTAGTAGGGTGCCGTGCACAAGTCAGTTGGAGGTACCCCCTCGAAATTTCGCACGTGCAAGGCCCACCCTCTCGCTCGCTCCGTTAGTCGCCCCAAAAGGCGTTATACTGGTAATAACGTTTATTATTGTCCAGTTGGGAACAAGTTCTGGCCAATTAGGGGCTGGACACTTTTCTCCGTCCAATTTGCACCGCGCATACCGTCCGAGACAAAAATATTCCAGCTCAACCATTAGTGGGGCAAAAAGCATTGAAGTTGGTAGAAGGTATCTACGACAACCAAACAATGCATGAGCGAGAACGCTTAACCCTCGCCGGCACAGGGGGTTGATGCAACCCCCCCCCCCCTAAGGTTTTTCGCGAATAACTCGCGTAAAAAGCGGCCGATCGCGACGAAACTTTCAGTACCCTCGCATTGATCAATTTTACACCTACCCTGAAAATTTCATGACCCTGACCCCAATGACCTTTGACCTGTGACCTCTTTTCCGAGACCATGTTTGGCCGGAATCGCGATTCGGCGTATGTCGGCTAACATTAGCCGCGCGTTTGCAAGCTTTTTGTGGTTTCAAACGTTCAAACATGTGATTTGATGTCGCTCCCATACATTAGGGTGGGTGTCAAGGTCACCTGAAGGTCAGGTCAGGTCAGGTCATTGACCTTTGGTGACCTCGGGTGACCTCGGTTCACTTTTTCGAGTTTTACATGTTTCTAGGCTAGTTTTTGGAGCTGAATTCGAATTTGGCAACCATTTGAACATTTACGAAGTAGTTTTGGTGCCTTCGTAACATGTTACGAAGCTGTCAGAGGCGGTTGACACGTACCACGAATACCCGTCACAACCCCTACCGGTTGACCTGACCTGACCTGACCCGACCTGGTCTAAATGCTTAAAGACATCATCTCTGATCAAAACTAACACGATATTCGTGATCAGCACCCTGGAAAACCACATAGCAGCCACAATTTACGACTTTCTAACAGGTCCCGATTTTCCCGGTTTTCGGGTCATTGACCTGACCTGGAAGGTCACCCGATGACCTAGGACCTTAAACTTGGGTATCATCGGCTTCGTCTCGTGACGGGCAACACGCTCGTTTTTTCCGCGATGCTCTAGCTCGATCAGGGGCCAAACGCGAGGGGGGGTCGTACCAACCCCCCCCCCCCCCCTTGTGCCGTCGAAGGACGCAAAATGGCCTGTGCCGGCGAGGGTTAAATAAAATTCCAAACGGTTATGGAAAAAATAACATCTGAAAATCGTAAAAAAAAAATTATAACCTGGCAAGAAATACTTTTCCGTGTATCACAGAACAATGGTGACGGACCGGCAACCCCAGTGTGGCTCGTTCGAACGACCGCGAAAAGAACTTAAATTGGCAAACTTAAATTGGAGCTGACGCCAGTTGTGCTGGGCTAAAACAAAGGCTGGCCGCTTTGCCCCGGGTGGCCGCTCTGCCCCAATCTCCCCTGCGGTGAGGTCTTGCCAATCTCCACAGATGGTTTTGACTCTGAAGATTTTTAAATACGGAGTGATCCCAGGATAGACAACAAAAGATGAGCTTGCGGCTGCAAGGATGATGCACCTGTAAGCTACACTCCAAGTTCATGGTGGTCTGACAAAGCGTTCCTATAGGATACAGATGCAAGGCTCAAACATGACGGAAACCTCACATTTCTTCAGCGGTGGACTGTACAGTGTACGTTATTTCGAAAGCAGAGAAATGATCCCCCTCGGGCGCCCCTCAGGAGCGGTACCATGCTCATTCAAAATCTAGCCAGTCGTTCATAAGCCAGAATGTCAGTGCAACGAGCATGGTGATTGTGATAAATGTGATAGACTGTCACCAGGAATGGCTCACAATAAGCACCATTCTGACCAAAACGGTGGGAGTTTGCCGAAGGTTTTAGTGCTATTAGCAGACTTTTTGTGCACGCCTCAGCAGTTTTGAGCGGAGTGATTCCCATGGCATAGATCAGTGTCGGCGCGTCTGCAATGGCAGCCTCCGGAACAGCCGTTGGTCAGTTCATCGACCAGGTCTTGGCCGTCTTGGGTCGTTTTTTCCCTTCTGACTAATAACGGCTGTTCAAACGATCCTGAGAACCGCGAATGGTACAGGGTGTCCCGAAAGTCCGACACATTTTCCATATTAATAAAGCATACATAAATCAGCAAAATCTTATGTTTATACCTATGTTGATATACATACATACATACATACTCAAAATCGCCTCATCTTTTGACAATTATTTCGGCATGTTGGAGACTAAACCCTTCGCCGTAGCCCCCAAAATGTCTGCCTATCTTAGTTTCTCCACGTCAGCTCCATCAGCAGGGTTGTGAAATGAAATGATTGGGGAGGAGACGTCAGCCGGCGGCAGACGGCACCGATCACTCACCAGGCTTGATGCTGACGATGATCGGCACGTAGGCGACCAGGCACAGCAGGATGAACGCCACGCACACCGCCAGGCAGCGGCACGTGGAGCAGGCGCACCGGGCGCGCGGCGCCACCTCCCGCGGGTGGAACATGGCGCACCACCTGGCCGAATGGACGGGGGCGCCCGTCAGCCGGCGGCCGACTCAGCTCGACAGCGGCCAGCCGGAGGGTCGACGGTGGGCGGCATGACCATTGCGTTAACCAGCGCCCCGCCCCGCTGGGCTATTCAGCCATACGCGCCCTGCTGGGGGGGGGGGGGGCAGATTCTGCCCCCCTGTCTAACTTCCGAACCGATGGTCGTAGAAAGACGGGGAAAACGGCAATCGAAAAATCTCAACAAGGCGGATCTAGAGAGCCCAATTTTTTTTGCTTAAGTAGGTCAGAGGTCAGGTCAAGGTCAGGTCAAGGGTACAAAATGTAAGTTTCTACATTATCAGCCTTGCACCGTAGTTGCCGAAGAATGGACTGAGACTGATTGCCCAAAACGTGTTCTTAGGCTACCAAGACAATATTTGTTGCATACCATATCATTCGAAGGTCAAGGTCCAGGTCAGGTCAGGTCAGGTCACCAAAAACAAAATATAGAAAAGGGCATGTGCGACACATGTTTTATGGGTCATTTTATTCATAGAATTCAATAGGCACACTCAATAAGTGATATGGACCACACCTGGATGAATTTACGGTCGAGGTCAGGTCAAGGTCAGGTCAAGTGAGGTCAAATTTTGAAGTTGGTTGTTAAGGCCTAAAAAGGTGTCTATCTGATGCAGTTTGTCACGGCGAATCGAATGGTGCTATTTTTGTTTCCGTACGAGGTCTAAAACTTCCAAAAAATTCATTTTTCAAAAATTTTGTGTGTCGTGACGTCATTAAATTTTGAATAACTCCCACATTTTTGAACCGATTCTTCTAAAAATTGGTATGTAGGTGCATATAGACCACTTCTCTGACAAATATTCCGGTTTTTTTCGATACACTCAAAATTTTGAAATTTTGGATTTTATAATTATTTTCCCAAAAAAAAATCAGTTAAAAAAATTGGGCCAAAATCCAAAATTTTCAAAAAAAAAACCGAGAGAGCCATTTGATAGACAAAGTAAAATCACGTATAACCTTTTTTGTTACGTCTTGATTCCTTTAAAAACGAAGATGTTAGCGGCGTTTAAAATTTTGCCGTTTTTTAGGCGAAAACGGCGAACATGACGTCACTAAAACGTCATTTTCTCAAAAAATTTCCGCCGGATTTTGCTCAAATTTTCAGGGGCGTGTCAAATTGATGTATTATAAGGTACTGAAAGTTTGGCGTCGCTGGCGTAAGGCGTTTAGAAGTTATTAGCGAAAAACGGGAGGGGGCAGATTCTGCCCCCCCCCCCAGCGGGGCGCGGGTTAACGTGAGGATTGGAACGTCCAACTGAACCGGACTATTGTAACTAAACTGGACTGTTGCACATGTTACCCCTTTTATGCCCGAGGTCATCTCAGGTCAGAAGCGTATCCAACAGTTTTTAGACAATAACTTAACAAAAAGAAACGTGCTAAGATAGAAACATGCTAGAGCGCTGAAAATACCATGAATGTGTTTAGCTCAGCAATATGAATCGAATGACATGCAACTTGACCTTTTCCGTGACCTTGACGTGTCACATTTTTAAGTTGACCTTTCCAGGTCAACTTATTACTGGGCGAGCGAAGCGAGCGTAGTCTTTCCCATATAACGGAAAAATCTCAGATCTCAGTATGAGCGGCCAGGTCCGGCCCGGTCCGGCCTGTAACGCTTTTGCTAGGCTTATATTATATCTCAGCAACCACTCGACCGATTTACATGCGGTAATTTTTGTAGGGTAGCTTCATTCCTTCTACCAAGTTGGAGGTGAGCTATGGCTTCTACCAAGTATTGGACTACTCCCGATGCATGTGGGTGACGTCTTATGCACGTGCCACGTGCAAAACGAAGAGGTGTCAGTTTTGTAACAATTGCAATATCTCGGTAACTACTGGGCCGATTGCGTTGAATGTTGGCATGTAGGTCGGCACCCACTAGGCAGTGCATATCCATATGCCACAGTTGGGGTGCTGCTGCACGTGCGCACGTGCAGGGGTCGATTCCAGATCTCGAGAACGGCTGAACCCATTGCGCTGAAATTTGGTACATGGTTAGGGACCGGTTAGTAGTGTGCCGTGCAAAAGTCAGTTGCGACCCATTGTGCACGTGCGCACGTGCAGGGTGCCGCTTCCAGATCTCGAGAACGGCTAGGCCGATTGCGCTCAAATTTGGCACATTGCTAGAGACCGGTTAGAAGGGTGCCTGCCGTGCACAAGTCAGTCGGAGGTACACTCGGGGGCAGATTGATGTTCCACCACTCCCTACCCATCGGGCTCCCATGGCTCAGCACTGGCTGCTACCAGTGGCAGCACTGGCAGCACTGGCACTGGCAGGCAGTGCTGAGCAGTACTGAGGGCAGGCAACACTGGCAGCAGCCATTGTTGAGCCATGGGAGCCCGATGGGCAAGGAGTGGTGGAACATCAATCTGCTCCCGAGTGTACCCCCTCACTTTTTCGCACGTACAAGGCTCACCCTCTCGCTCGCTCCGTCTATATTCTATTGGTGCATTTAAACTTCATTATGCCATGAACAATTATTAGTTATGAAATCAGGTTAACCCTCGCATGTGTAGGGGGGTCGGATTAATCCCTCCATGGTTTTCGCGAATAACTCGCGCAAAAAGCGGCCGATCGCGACGAAACTTTCAGTACCCTCGAGTTGTTCAATTTTACACCTACTCCGAAAATTTCATGACCCTGACCCAAGTGACCTTTGACCTGTGACCTATTTCTCGAGGCCATGTTTGGCCGGAATCGCAATTCGGAGTATGTAGTCGGCAAATTTACATTTCGAATAATGGACATTTCGACTAATCGACATTTCGGCAAATCGCATTTCGGCAAATTTACATTTCGACTAATAAGCATTTCGGCAAATTGGCATTTCGGCAAAAAGGCATGTCGGCAAATGGCATTTCGACTTTTAGCATTTCGACTTTTTGACACGTCGGCAAAAAACACATCGGCAAAATTACACTCGGCGAAATGCATTCGGCAAAATGACATTCGGCAAATTGCCTTTCGGCAATTTGTCCGGATACCGTTGTTTTACGGGTCTCCCGAAACTGGGTGTAGGCCTGTTTTCCTTGACCTCTTGCCCGAGGATAATACAATCATATAAGATAAACTTAACATCAAAGTGCTCCCAGGCCATAAGGCATTATCCCCCAAAACAAACATTTCTGCCTACACCACTTTTGCCGCGTTTTTTTACATCTGAAGTGGAAAAGCTCCGTGTCTGAACATGGCGCGACCTTTGGCTTCCAACAGATTTGGTTTCCAAAACAAACCCGTTCATGGCCATTTTGGTTCACGGCATCCAGTTTTTGTACTGGTAAAATATTACCGCGGTAGTACTCTGTGCTAACGGTTGTCTTTGGGCCATCATATCAAGCCGAATGAGTGCACGGTGGCTCAAACTGTCTCACAATTTGATTTTCGACGGGTGCCTGGCCGTCTCTGCTGTTGGGGCGTTGTAGCCATCTGACGTTCACACACGTCCTTTTCGGGCGGTTCAAATGACAGAAAACCTTCGTTAGACCACAAAGTGTGCTTCAATATACTTTTTTGCTGTAAATGTTATGTTTTTTGGATGAATTGTAGTGATTTGCGCTGCTTTTCCCGTAGTTTTCGCATATTTTTCAGGCGAAGGACCCCAAATTCCAAAATTTGTCGAAGATAGTGGTGCAAAGTAATTTGTTACTTTAATAATAGTCGAAGTAGTGAAGCAAAGTGGTGCTTCCGTGCGCGGCTTTGTGCGCACGTTAAACTTTGGACTCTAAATTCTGCCATAGCACCGGAATTGCGCGATCGGAGGGTAGAGGGCAGGGTCATCGCAACAAGCTTCGCTTAGCGCTGGCTCTGTCCTTGTGAATCCTTCCCATCAAAATATTCGGACGAAATTTATAAAAAAAAAAGTAGACTAATGTTTTGTAGGTAATCCTGATCTATAGTTTAGCTAGTTTTTAGTTAGATCGGTGACGTTTGTTGTCCATGACAAGCAACCACCTCTTTGACAACTGGTGCATGACCTTTTTGGCCGAGCCCAAGCTTGTCAATCAGGTTTATCTCTTGCTCTCTCTGGCTTTGTTTGCTGATGTAATTGCGCTTTGCCCAATCCTAACTGCTTGCAGATGAGCTGCTGAAGCTCTCAAGCAAAAACCATGCCGAAAGTCCGTTTACAAAGTTGAGAACGGGAGTTGATTCACCATGGTTGCCTATTAGTGGCTTAAGCTGAAAACGGAAAAGGAATAACACTTACTTGACTCTGGATAATAATTGACTCGAGTCGTTACCGGTCACCAAAAGCACACAGTCCCCGAGCTCGATAGCTAAGGGATATCTTATAAAAGTATGATGCTCGTACCTAGGTATATCATTAGAATCGAGCGCAATCGTACTTTTAGCCAGAAAACAAATGTTTGGGTAATTCTGGGACACCCTGTACATGTTAAAGAGCCCATCATTGTGAAACTTTCCTGTAATAATGTGTGAATATAACATTGCTCTTTAACCCGCGCCGGGCCGGTGCTCCGCGACGGGCCGGGGGGGGGGGGGGTGTCTGAACACCCCCTCCCCGTCTAACTCGGCTCCTGGGCCACGTAGCGACACGCGGTAAGCGGCATTCGAAAGAGCGTCAAAAATAATGACGGAAACACTTCAGTCATTTTTTGGGTCAGGTCAAAGGTCAGGTCGCCAGAGGTCATCAAAGGTCAAATGTAGGCCATTTTCAACAATTTTGGAAACTGCCAGCGGCTAACTCGGAAACCAATAGAGCTACAGCGCCGCGGAAAAGCGCATTCGATAGCCCTTTTACAGACCTTTCTGAATAATGTTCTCAGATTTGACCTCTGCTCAACGGTTTAGCCTCTAAAGAGCAAATGCTGTAAAAATAACCGTTTTCACAAAAAAAAAGTTTTTCGGTAATAACTTTTGATTCAAGCAAGCCACGACATAACTTTTGCCAGCATCGTGGTCCTCTCGTCGAGACGCGAACTTTTGCTAGCATCGTGTTCCTCTCGTCGAGACGCGTCGAATGAACTATTCGCTGACCTTGAAAGGTCATTTTGAAAATTTGACTTTAAGTCAAGGTCATGACCTGACCGGAAAGGGTCATGTTGCATATCGGTCGATCCGTATCGTCGAGCTGAATACATCTGACGTGTTTTCATCGCTGTAGCACGTCTCTATCAAAAGTTATAGCCAAAAAACTGCTGGTGACCGTTCATGACCTGATATGACCTCAGGAGCACAGAGAGGGGTCACAGCCCACAGGTGCATTTTTCCGATTCATTGTGTCATGTTTACCCATGAATCGATGTTTGAGAGGTTTTTGAACACCATTCGTCCACAAGAGGCGCATTTCAATTTTCTCCCTTTGACTTATAATGGAGAGGTCGCAAAATTGACCTGACCTTAGGTCACCGATATCAAAATTTTGAGATATACATTTTGTACATACTGTTACTCTTATCAATCGCTGAAAGTTGCAAGGCGATCGCTCAGCCGCTGTAGCTCTGACGAGGATTGAAACTTTTTCTGAAGTGAGGTCACTTGACGTGACCTGGTGACCTGACCTTGAAAGCCCTGGGTCTGAAATTTTCACATGTGCGGAAAAGATGCATAAACATGTGTGCCAAAAACGGCGGCGCTCCGATATCTGCGAAAATCGCATGGGGGTGTTCAAACACCCCCCCCCCCCGGCCCGGCGCAGGTTAACCCGCGCGGGGCTGGGGGGTAAATTTTACCCCCTCGCGAATTTTTGCAATATCTCAAAAACGGCGGCGCGCAGCGCCGCCAAACTTTCAGTACCTTTTCTTACATCAATTTGACACGTTCCCTGAAAATTTGAGCGAAATCCGTCGGAAAATTTTTGAGAAATTGACGTTTTAGTGACGTCATGTTCGCCATTTTCGCCTCAAAAACGGCAAAAGTTCAAACGCCGCTAACATCTTCATTTTTAAAGGAATCAAGACGTAACAAAAAAGGATATACGTAATTTTACTTTGTCAATCAAATGGCTATCTCGGTTTTTTGAAAATTTTGGATTTTGACCCAAATGTTTTAAAAAAACTGACTTTTTTCGGAAAATAGCTATAAAATTCAAAATTTTGAGTGTATCGAAAAAACCGGAATATATATCAGAGAAGTGGTCTATGTGCACCTACATAGGACCAAGTTTTAGAAGAATCGGTTCAAAAATGTGGGAGTTATTCAAAATTGTATGACGTCACGACACACAAAAATTTTGAAAAATGACTTTTTTGGAAGTTCTAGACCTCGTACGGAAACAAAAGTAGCACCATTCGATTCGCCGTGAAAAACTGCATCAGATAGACACCTTTTTAGGCCTTAACAACCAACTTCAAAATTTGACCTCACTTGACCTGACCTTGACCTGACCTCGACCTGGAATTCATCCAGAGGTGGTCCATATCACTTATTGAGTGTGCCTATTGAATTATATGAGTAAAATGACCCATAAAACATGTGTCGCACATGCCCTTTTCTATATTTTGTTTTTGGTGACCTGACCTGACCTGACCTTGACCTTGACCTCTGAATGATATTGTCTGCAACGAATATTGTCTTGGTAGCCTAAGAACACGTTTTGGGCGATCAGTCTCAGTCCATGACTCCATTCTTCGGCAACTACGGTGCACTGCCGATACTGTAGGAACTTGCAATTTGTACCCTTGACCTGACCTTGACCTTGACCTCAAACTTAAAATTAAGTACATGTTTTTAGTCGTTCGTGATGAGATCTTTCGATTGGCGTTTGAATTTTCCAAATCGGACCATTAGTTCGGGAGATAACAGGGGGGTAAAATTTACCCCCCCCAGCCCCGCGCGTTCGGCTGGAGACCCCAGCCCCGCGCGGGTTAATACTCGTATAAGGTGCAAATAAAAATCGTTCATGCAAGAAGGGTGCAAAAAATAAGTTATTATTTGAACTCTTAATCTTAACTAAGGTCAATTTGGAAAAAAACATTTTTGGATAGCTAAAAATTCATGCATCCTGGCTCCACGAGCCCAAAATGGTCGTTAGCACAAATGAAAACAAAAGTTATTAGTCCATAAAGCAGCAGATAACAGCAGCGTTTTCAGCCGGGAAGGTTGGTGGTCCCTCTTGCCCCGCTGGGCCGTCTTACCCCACCTTCCCCTACTTTTGTTATTTATAGGAATAAGCTATCGTCTGGACTTGGGAGAACCTAAACAGAACAGAACAGAATAAAAGAAAGCCCAAAAGCCATTGATGCATGTCTTTCTTATGCCTCAAATATCTCGGAAAACCTTCCTCTCATGACTTCCAATATTTTCTCTAAACTAAAGCAATATATTTGGATTAACTTACTTAGGTACAATGCACAACAAAATTTGAGAGGGAAATGAACTGAAGCGTCCATTCCAGTCGAATTTGTGAGTGACAGCATTACTGATCATGTGGTGGGGGCGGGGAGAATAGGAGGTGTCTCCAATGAGTGTCAACCTGATTCTTAAGTGTTTAGAGTTGGTGCCTGCCATTTCTAACAATCAAAACACATCAGATACTTGAACAGTATTCTTTCTCAGGTAGGTATGCCTGGCCATGCTTTGTGACTTCATATATATTTTTGAAGTGGCTACTGTGACTGAATGAAAGAACTCCATGGAAAATACATGTGACACAGAATGCAAAAGGTTCTACAAAGAAAATTTGGTTTTGTCACTTGATTTACTTGCATATCAATGCCAAGATTTTGGATTGATATCATTTGGAAATTGGAATATCAATATCTGTTTTAAGGCATGTTGTTTAAGCACAATAGCACCTTGCACCTTGAAGAAAAATCCAACAACAAAATAGGACAGTAGTAATGCAGGCATCACACATCACAGTTGTTTTTGGCAGCCAAGGAAAGGCACTGCAGGTTGTTAAGATGTAGGTTGTAGGTTTTAGGTTTCAGGTGGTAGGTTTTGGGCTGTATCATTTATGTGGTAGATTTTAGGTTGTAGGTTGTAGGTAAGATTAGATCAGGTTTGGTTAGGTTTGGTTTGGCTTGATTGGAAAGCATCAATGGGTATAGCACCTCTCCTTGGATGCAAAAAAAAGTGTGATGCCTGCTTTACAACTAGGTACCAAAAATAGTTCCCATTGTTAAACCCTTACCAATAGGCACTACCTACTATATACCTTCTCTGGGTATACCTTACAGTCCTAGCTCAAGCTTGCAAGTTTATAAGTACCTTAGATGCAATTCAAATAGCTTACCTTTACAGTATTGCCATCATAAGAAGTTTCTACTTTAGAAGCATCAGACCAAGCGTCCAGGAATCACGGTAGTGGTACACACCATAGTGGTGCATGTACAGTCTGTCTTAAAAGTACCGCGCAAAGTGACGGTGGATCCATCAAGCCTGACCGAGGAAGGGCCTGCTTTAATTTGAAAGTCACCGAACCAATTGAACTGGGGAATGGACGAGAATGTCAATTGCTTCGGGGACTCAAATTTAACAGGTTTTTTCTCGGTCAGGCTTGATGGATCCACCGTCACTTTGCGCGGTACTTTTAAGACAGACTGTACATATGTAGTTGAATACACTGGTATGCACAGATGCCTACAAGAAACAGTTGTTGTTGGGTTAGGGTGTGTATAGTTCGTTTTTTTTTAAGTTTGACCCTCACTGTAATCGTCTATTTGAACACAGCACGAGAATTGCTAACTGAATTGCTGAGAAAACTGGTTAGCGCACATTGTATCAGTATTGGAGTAATGAATAATAATTGTTAAATAAGTTTTAACCACCGATAACATACCGTTATGCTAGACCCCCTGCAATATTTACTGATAAGTTTGGTTATAACTCCTGACAAGTCTTCTATCCCTGTGGTTTAGTAAGCATACGCAAATACGAGCTGCAAGCCTGGGAAAATACATGTCAGGTAGAATTTCTTTTGATGAATTTGATCGTCTGTGAAATCAATGTGCACCAATCAGTTTTCTCAGTAATTCAGCCTGCAATTCTCGTGCTGTGTTCAAAGAGACGTTTACAGTGAGGGTCGAACTAAAAAACGAACTTGAACTAGAGTAGGTATATCTATAGATGGCCTTGGGTATATCGGATGTTGGTGACAGAAAGCTCAAGCACTGGAACTGACTGAAACTCTATAACTGGGATAACCAACAGCGAGCGTGCAGGGAACACAGCAGTCGCTGAAATGAGAAATCAAGATACCTATCATACCCAAGGCCACATATAACCATCATACCTATTAGAAACGCGGATACCATACTATGCGACGCGGATACCTATAAGAAATGCGGCCAGTTGCCAATCCAGTAAGATAGTGACATTTCACAACAATCACGTGACTATTGTCATAATTTGTGTTTAATATCTTTTAACCTTTCTTGGTTTGCATAGCCTTGCTTTTAACACCTATGCATGATTTTGATACAATAAACAACGATAAATTTAAGATGTTATTTGAAGCAGTATTTGGGTAATTGCGTGTTTAAATTGTTTTTAACTTTAAAGTAACACGTGATACTACCATGGGTGCATGCTTGGCGTATTTGGAGATTCCGACCTCGACGGGTGTCTGTGGTAGAAAACCACCACTTTGGTAGAGGAAACTACTGCTGTCTGCTACCATTTGAACATGAACTGCATATCTCGCTATAGTTGCGACTTGCGACATCTTTGCATACCTATACATATTACATATACCTACCTAAACCGCTACATCTGTGCGCGCTGGTTCTTTTTTTTTTCGAGGAAAATTTACTACGTCTCATGGGCGAGTAGTAAAGTAATCTTGTCATGGGCTACCTGATGCTACCGTATTTGTAAATTCCGACCTCGACGAGCACCTGTGGTAGAAAACCACCACTCCTGGGACAAAAGACGTGCCATTTGCCTATACGCAACCGAAGTCGTGACGTCACGATAAGTGGCTGGGGCATAATCAGCTGACGGCCCCGTGTTAAAGCAATGGGGCAATACTTTGCCGATCTTTCCTAAAAAAAACTGGACCTAGTTAGATAGTTTTAGTAGCTGGATTTAGGACAACGATGTATGGTCTATTTTTCTATGGAAAAATTTTGCAAAATCTAATAACGCAAAAAGCACAAAATTTGGTGAAAACCCAATTTGCGGCGAGGTTGACGCAGAAATACAAAACATTGCCAATCAAGAGGTTTAAAATCATAGCTAAGAAATAAAAAAGATTTACGAAAAAACTAATATGGTAAATTTTCTGCTTTGCTTTTTACAAATAAAAAATATTTACCCAGCTCAAACTCAAATCTGTCAAAGCTTTCGCACCAAAATTCTACAACGTGGTCGCAGTTCGCGTCTTCAAGGTCATGTATTTGTTGCGTCAGGCTCGCCGCCCGTAACAAATTCGCGAAGTTCGGCCCTTTCCGCTTTAAAACATAGCATTTTTTGGGCGTAGAAAAATAGAATATACTCAGTTTACTTAGAAACTGGCCCCCAAACTATCTAACTAGGTCCAGTTTTTTTTTCTAAAAATACCGATAAAAATTCGTCCCATTGCTTTAACACAGGGCCGTCAGCTGATTATGCCCCAGCCACTAGTCATGACGTCACACTTCGGTTGCGTATTACCGGGGTTACATGAGCAAGTAAATGCGTATCAGGAACGGATTTTCCTATTCGCTCACCATTGTAGTCCGTTTGTAATGCGTATTAACCCTCGCCCTGGCAGGGGGGGGTCGATGCAACCCCCCTAAGGTTTTTCGAAGATAGCGTATAAACGGCGAAGATAGCGTATAAACGGCGGCGCGCAGCGCCGCCAAATTTGGCACAGCCTATGGAGCAACCTTTTTACATATGACCTGAAAATTTCAGGTCCGGGTGACCTTGGGTCAGGTCACCAGGTCAGAAAAACCGGTACAAGGTCATGGTAAAATTTCAATTTTCTTTTTGCACCTGTCCAACTCACAGTGTTTGACTGATTTCCTTCAAACTTTCAGGATGTGCTAAGTTCACCGAGTTGTATAACATATAGTTCGGGTTTTTTGAGGTCACTGACCTGAGGTCAGTTAGAGGTCATTACGTCGTAATGCCCAAAACACTCCCACCGATTTGGATGTGCGTCTCACCCGTGTCGGCGCATGCAGTTTTCAACTTCGTGAGATAACACTGGGGGAGCTCGAGCGGATTATTTTCAGCATGCGTAACTCGAGTGCCTGCGGCTCCGATAACGTCTGTGTCCGCATGCTGAAATTCGGATTCCCCGCTATTGGTGGTGTCATCCTGCATATTATCAATACCTGCTTAATCCAATCTGACATCCCCGATTCATGGAAACATTCCATAGTTCACCCTCTGTTCAAGTCTGGTAACCCTTCAGACCCCGCAAACTTCCGACCCATTTCCCTAGTTCCTGTAATCACTGGCGGATCCAGGGGGGGGCCACCGGGGCCATGGCCCCCCCAAAAGCCTGAAAGGGGGGCCAACATATCTTTTGGCCCCCCCCCAAAACGCTTGAAGAAAAATTAATGTGAGATGGTTGCGTAGTAGATACCTACTAGAATCAGCAGCGTGATTCAATAGCGTAGAGAAAGTCAGGGGTGCGGGAACTACTTTCAGACTGGGGGGGGGGGGGGCACACCATAATAGAGATCAACCTAGGGTCCCCCCCAAATCTAGTTTCTCACCGGTTTTAGGCCACTTATTTTTCATCTCTTGGCTTTTTCAACAAAAAAAGAAAACATTTGCAAAAAGGGCAGTATTCCGTCTGAAAGTTGTGGTGGCACCGCCCCCCACTGGTGGATTCAGGGAGGGGGCCACCGGGGCCATGGCCCCCCAAAAGCCTGAAAGGGGGGCCAACATATCTTTTGGCCCCCCTCCCAAAACGCTTGAAGAAAAATTAATGTGAGAAGGTTGCGTAGTAGATACCTAAAAGTTAGAATCACCGGCGTGATTCAATAGCGTAGAGAAACTCAGGGGTGCGGGAACTACTTTCAGACTGGGGGGGGGGCACACCATAACAGAGATCAACCTAGGGTCCCCCCGAATCTAGTTTTCTCACCGGTTTTGGGTCACTTATTTTTCATCCCTTGGCTTTTTTCAACAAAAAAAGAAAACATTTGCAAAAAAATGGGGTATTCCGTCTGAAAGTTGTGGGGGCACCGCCCCCACGGCCCCATAGTTGGGGGGTGGGCAAGCTGTCCCCACTGCCCCGGTTCCCGCGCCTATGGAGAAACTACCTGGTTTACTAGCTTCCTTCATAAAGTGTCGTCATGTCTTGTCGTCACCCGAGAAGGTCTTATTGCATACATATCGATTGAACTGTCAAGTTTACAAACTTGCTCTGGCAGCCTGACCTGACATGACCCGGCAATTTTTCATTCACGGAATATGCGCAATAATTTTTTTAGGAACACTCACTGAGTTGGCGTTGAAAAGCTTGTTTTATTTGGTAATTGTACAAGAAGCATATCAGGGACCTTTTTGTCCTTTCCCGTGAAACGGTAAAAGACTTATTTCGGTCAGAGCTCAGGCCAATCTCTAAGGGGTCAGTCGGGTCACTTATTTCTTAAAAGGGTCCTTACGGCATCCAAGGACCAATTCCGGCTTTTGAGTGCACCACATCAGCATTTGATGCTGCGACAGATGGTGAAATATGAATATATGTTACAGGCCGTATGAAAATTGTCCGTTTGCAAACGGCCTGGCCCAGTCAGGGCATATGAAACAGCCTGAAAACACCGGCCGTTTGCAAACCATGACCTGAAATATCAGACCGTTTGAAAACGGCCTAGTTAGTTTCGGCCTAGCGGATCCAGGGGGGCCACGGGGTCATGCCCCCAAACCTGAAAGGGGGCAACATGTATTTTGGCCCCCAAAAACACTTAAGAAATATGAATGTGAGAAAGTAGCGTAGTAGGTAGAAACTACCGTATCATTAAAAATATGTGAGCTTGAGTGTTGGTCTCGTCTTCACCCAAGAAGTTCTTATTGCATACTTTACCTCTCGATCGAAGCGTGAAGTCATCGTGTAAGTTATCATGAATCCGATCGCGACGAAACTTTAGCACCCTCATGTTGGCAAAGTCTGAAAATTTCATGACCCTGACCCAAGTGACCTTTGACCTGTGGCCTATTTCTCGAGAGTATCCGTGCGTTCGGAGAGCATTGAATATTCACCGTCCCCTGGAATATTCCCCGTGCCGCGTTCGGAGGCGTATCTCTCTGAACGGCCAATCTCCGGGAATGTTCCGCGCGCATGGAGTATTCCACGGATTCCACGTGGAATGTGCCTCTCCGAACGCACCATATGTTTGGCCATGTTTGAGGCCATGTTTGGCCGGAATCGCGATTCCGCGTATGTCGGCTCACATTATCCGCTCGTTTACAGTCTTTTCGTGGTTTAACCCTCGCCCGTAAACGGCGATCTGCCACCTTCGCCCATGCAGGGGGGGGGGTTGGTGCGACCCCCCCCCCCCTTGGCGTTTGAAAACGGAGCGTCGTAGAGCTTAGCGGAAAAGACCAACGGATTGCTCTCGCCGAGATCTCGCGATTGGTGGTATATTTTTTGGTCCTAGGTCAACATTTGACCTACTTTTGACCGGTCAAAGGTCAAATTTTCGGAAAAATCGGCTTTTTCAAATTTCCGCGGCGATTGCGGCAAAACGGTGGGAGATATCGACTTGAAACCTTAACTATCGTGTTCCTTGATCAATTCTCTATCGTTTGGTATGTATTTCGTTTCCCTAGCTCTAAAAATGGCGCGTTGGGAGCGCCGGAAGTCGGCAAGGTCACAGTCGGCGGCAGAAATTCGAAAAATCAAAATTTGAATTTTTGAAATCTGATTGTATTTTTGGATTTGGGATGTCCATTTGCTCCCTATAGAAGCTAATATTGCTGCATATTCCCATTGAGGTGACAAGAATTAGCAAAATAGTGGTTCGGGCGCTTTTCAAAAATAGCACCGGACGCTGTTCCTCTTGTGACGTCATAGCTCCGTGACCTGACCTGACCCGGTCAAGTTTCTTATACCATATGATGGCCAATACTTGCCCCAACATGCATGGGAAGTTTCATCACGATCCATCAACCGA